GGATGTGAGTGGCTATCAAGAAGACGTCGTGGGCGATACAAAGGTCCCATATCTGGATGGCAAGGTTGCAGAGACGTAGGGAGACCGTGCCTCCTTGTTTGTTGATATAGCTGAGTGCAGTGGTATTGTCTGTGAGGACCGTAACACATTTCCCTTTGATCATTGGTAGGAAGCTTGTGATTGAGAACTGTATTGCTAGCAGTGGAAGTTTATGTGCCGACCTTGTCCGTGGGTGTTCCACTTGCCTCCGACACAGAGTCCCATCATGTGTGCACCCCAGCCCGACAGGGAGGCATCCGTGGTCAGGGTAAATTGGGGTGATGGACGATGGAAGGGCGCTCCCTGGAAGAGATTGGAAGGGACAGTCCACCAAAGTAAAGAGTCTTGTAGGTTGGGAGAAGGTGTTAGGATGACGGTATGTGCGTTTTTTTGTTGGGTCGTACTTGCGGATGAACCACAGTTGTAGACAATGCATCTTTAGTCTGACAAAGATGAGGACCGACGTAGTTGCGGCCATAAGGCCGAGCAGTCTCTGGATTTGGAAGGCCGTGACTGAAGGTTGGGTACAGACGACATTGGTTAAGGAAATGATGTCTGCTGCTCTGTCTTGTGGCAGGTAAGCCATGCATGTCTTGGAATCCAGTATAGCACCGATGTACTGTATTCTTTGGACTGGACGCAATTGAGACTTCTCGTGATTGACCTGGAGGCCTAGATTTTCTAACAGTGCCAATGTCTCGGTGATGTTTGAGACCAGGGCATTCTTTGAAGGGGCTACCAGGAGGCAATCGTCGATATAGGGGTAGATGGAGATACCCCTGAGACAGAGGAAAGCTGCAACGACAATCATAGTCTTTGTAAAGACTCTCGGGGCGCTTGACAGGCCGAATGGCAGGGCTGCCTATTGGTAATGCTGTTGACCAATTGCGAAGCGCAGGTATTGGCGGTGGGAGGGGTGGATGGTGAGGTGGAAGTACGCGCCTTGGAGGTCGAGGGTGGCTATCCAGACGTTTCTCTGCAGGAGTGCCATAATCTGCTGCAAGGACACCATGCGGAAGCAGTGGTAGGTCACATAGCAGTTCAACGCTCTTAGGTCTAAAATAAGTTGAACGCCTCCATCTTGCTTTGGAACTGTAAAATAGCGGGAATAGAATCCCTTCCCTTGCAAATGAGGGGGCACCAGCTCAATGGCTCCCTTGTGCAGAAGGACAGACACCTCCTCTAGGAGAGGTGGGGAAGGGGGTGTGGAGACGACGACAGGAGTAATGGGGTTCTGGTGGAATTGGATATGGTAGCCTCGGGTCACGATGGACAGTACTCATTCATCCGTGGTGATATGATGCCAGGTGTGAAGAAAAGGAGACAGACGGGTTTGAACTGACTCGGTGGAAGGGAAGTAAAAAACCCTGTTTGGAGGATTTTGCCTGTTTGGTGTGGGAAGATTGTTGCCCGGATCCAAACCTGGGTTTTTGGAAGGTGGGTTTTTGGCCTCCTGAAGATGTACGTGGTCTCCATTGTCTGTCAGGAGACTGACGACTTGGGGTACGCTTTTGCCAGGGTCTCGACCACGTGCGGGGACAGTATTGTTGTCTCGCAGAGGATGACACTCTTAGAGCACGGGAAGCCTTTATGCTCTTATCCATATCTTGGAGTATGGAATCGGTAGTGCTGTTGAAGAGACCAAAGCCATCAAACGAGAGGTCTTCGACATAAGACCTAGTATCTTCTAGAGGAAGATTGGTATTACGGAGCCAGGAATGTCTCCTCAGAGCTATTGCAGAGGCCATCATTCTTGAGGACGCGTCTAGAGCATGTTTTGAAGTGTTGATCTGCTGTTTAGCCAACACCATGCCTTCCTTTTGAATAACTCTGGCTGCCTGAAGCTTGTCTTCGGGAAGATGAGTTAGGATTTCAGAAAACCTTTCCCAGAGAGTGTATTGATATCTGCTCATGCAGCCTAAGTAATTAGTGGTTTTTACACCCAACACTCCCATGCCTGCCAAAGGCGTCCAAATTCTTACTTTCTCTATCAGAAAGTGCAGAGTGTGTTCTTTTGGACTTTGAGGAGGATGTTACAACCATTGAGTTTGGTTGAGGGTGGGAGAATAAAATTTCTGCTCCAGTTTCCTGGACTCTGTACATGTGATCCAGGGGTCTTGTCGATACTGGGGCTGATGAAGGATTTTCCCATGGTGCCTTTGCGGCTTGTAAAAAGACTGTTAACATGGGGAATGGCACACTAGTGGAGGTATCTAGCTGCACGATATTGAAAACTGCGTCTGTCACCTGCGGGTGTTGTTGGATGACAGAGAGGCCTAGAGAATGGGCCATTCTCTTGACAAGATCTGTATATGACGTGAGATTGTCAGATGGGGATATGGGTAGATCATCAGCGACAACCTGATTAGGAGACTTATGGTCAGGAGAGGTGTGAGCCTCAGAGGCTTCCATACCCGAAACCTCTTCTGTTGAATCAGAGGAATCCTGGTCCCGCATTGGTACCAGAGTGACCTGAGTTTGACTGATTACGGATTTTGGTGGTGTAACTTGGAGTTTGGGAGGACGACTAGGTTCCAGATTATGTTGGGAAGAGTCGTCGGCAGGAGGACGAGACAAAGATGCCGAAGGTCTTGACTTGTAGGGCAACCGTGATCTGTGGGCAGAGTGGGATGAATAACGATCCCAGTCGGAATAGCCCGCCGGAGTCAACCATGGCATGGATGGTGGATAACCCCCATAAAGATACCTAAGCTGTCTTTGATCCCAGGACAGTGGGGGGGGGGTAAAAAGACTTGCGGGGGATCGACTTCTGGACCGTGGACGTCTCGGAGACAAAGCAGCCTTCTGCCTTTGAGAGCGTTCCCTATAATCTCGGTCATCGATATTGACAGACTGAATATGCAGACATGGAGGGTGACGCTGTGTGCTGCTGTAAACATGTCGATTCCGACGCGAATCGATTTCGGGAGCCTTTGATACCGTCGATGTCGACGATGGGGAAGGAGATGGAGAAGGCTCTGCATGCATCTGATGATTTAGGAGCTCTACCGTCTCGATATTGGGGTAAGGATGTTCCATGATTGACTGAGGATGTAACGCCGCCTCAAGGAGCGCCACCTTTAGGCGTGCTGCTTGATTTTTTCTCGTCTGGTTCGAAAAACGAGCACAGTGGTGACAGGACTCAGATCGGTGTGATTCCCCCAAACAAAAAATACAAAGGGTCAGCTACCTTCCCCTTCTTTGCCACTTTTAGGGTCTTAGAGGAACCATTTTTTGCGGACTTAATCTCCTTACTTGGCTTGGACTTCTTTTTAACCAGCATGGAAGCGATTGATTGCACCGTCGATGCCGGTGGTTTCGAAGTCGGTTGAGCGATATCGGAGGAAGGCCTCGATGCTGGAGCCATCGATGTTGAAGGTCTCTCGGACTCCATGATTGACTGAGGATGCGACGCCGACTCAAGGAGCGCCACCTTTAGGCATGCTGCTCTATTTTTTCTTGTCTGGTTCGAAAAACGAGCACAGTGCCGACAGGACTCAGGTCGGTGAGATTTCCCCAAACAAAAAATACAAAGGGTGTGGTGGTCAGGTGGAGCAAGTTTACTGTCGCAACCCTTACAACAGTTGAAAAAGCCCCACTTCTTCTCTATAAAAATAAATTTGAGAAGGAGGAGGAAGTGGGGAGGGGGAGGCCGAAGGCCAAACTGAGGTACAGTGGCAACTTCCCCCTCAGAAGAACCTTTTTTTTTTTTGAAGAACAAATGGAGAGAGATTAAGGAAAAAAGAATAAACTGAGGAAAAATCCAAAGAGCCGTGAGGCAAATTATCCCAAAAAAATGTAGCCGATCAGACCGACGGAGAAAAGGTCTTTCCAACGCTGCGGTAAGAAAGGAACTGGCGGGATGTCCGCGCCCACCTCTCTGGGCATGCATGGTGGGGTTCCTGCGCATGCCCGAGGTCTGGGCACGAAAATCCGTTAAAGAGCTTGCTACAATGCCGGTCGATCCAGCGCATGCGCACTAGATCCCATGGGTGTGAAGCACAGAGACCACGTCGAAGATCTAAGCACCGAAGCAACCCTCCCTGCCCTCCCTTCTCATGATCTGCCTAAGTTCACACAATCAGCATTGCTGTCAGATGGCCATCTAGCCTGTTTGAAAACCTCCAAAGGAGGAGATATACCACTTATCTTTATTATTTGGAAGTATAAGCATGGCAGTTCTATACAGACACATCATGGGCTGCTCTCCGCTGGGCTAAACTGCCCCTTTAACAAAAAATTTACCCCCCCTTAAAAAAAGATTTTGGGCTGCAAGTAGGGTTGCCAAGTGGGGGCAGGTAACCCCCCACTCACAGAGACCACGTCGAAGATCTAAGCACCGAAGCAACCCTCCCTGCCCTCCCTTCTCATGATCTGCCTAAGTTCACACAATCAGCATTGCTGTCAGATGGCCATCTAGCCTGTTTGAAAACCTCCAGAGGAGGAGCTATACCACTTATCTTTATTATTTGGAAATATAAGCATGGCAGTTCTGTACAGACACATCATGGGCTGCTATCCGCTGGGCTAAACTGCCCCCTTAACAAAAAATGTACCCCTCCCTCCCCAAAAAAGAAGATTTTGGGTTGCAAGCCTGTTGCTGGAAATGCCGGGGATTCAACCCAGGGCCTCCTACAGGGACAGTGGGTGCTCTACCCACCAAGCGAGGGTTTTTAGTGAACACCAAGCATGTAGAGGGAAAGACACACAGGAAGAGCCCCGCCCACTCTCTCAAAACTCTTGGTGGGCACCAGGTAAGGTGTCAGTGGGCGCCGTGGCACTCACTGGCACCACGTTGGGGACCCCCTGCTCTACAGGTAGTGCTTTTGAGCTCACAGGTTTGAGGCTTATCGCTTGAAAGGAGGGGGGGGACGGAGGTCTAAAAACACAGAGGGAGGCTGAACGACACGGTCTGTTCCATCTCTTCGAGGTTCAAGTGTCGTTTCGATACAGGTACGTACTGTTTGCGCCCTGAGAAGGGCTGGGCAGCAGGCTCCGAAGCTTCTTCAGGGTGTTCACCGCCACGTTCAGGTATATGTTCCGGCTGGTGCTGCGCTCGTAAGCCACCTTCTCCTCCGAAAGAGCCTGCGGAGCACACCGGTATTGTATTTCTGTGTCCTACGGCCCACCGCCGAGGCAGATTTGGGTAAAGCATAAAGACCAGCCAAGGTAAATCCGACATGCAGAGTCAAGCCCATAGCTACGGTGGGGCCTCCTGGGGCCTGGCCCCCCAACGTCCTCCCAAGGCCCCCTGACTTTTGAGAAGAAACTGGCGAGGCGGCACGCACCTGCACTCTGAGCCGCTTCTTCTGCAAAGCATTGAAAGGGACCCTTTAAATGCTTTGAGGGAGAAGGGAAGGAGACCGCAAATTTCAACCCCCCCCCCCCCTGACTTTTAAAAAGGCCCCTCTATTTAAAAAATCCTGGCTAGGGGCCTGCACAGTCATGAAACACCGAGAGGGAAGGACAATAGGGACAGAGAAGTGAAGGCCCCGGCCTGGCTACTGACACAGAAAGACCGCGGAGGGGGGCTGGCCTGGGTCAGGACTGTACCAGCGTTGCACTGCACAGGTCCAGAGCACGGCGGCAGCTGGGATCCTGCATCCAGCTCTACTCAGAACACCTTTTAAAAAGGGTGCTCAGAACTGGGAGAACAGAAATGACAAGAGACAGTGGCGGTGACAGGGGTTTGTAAAATTATGCATGGTGTGTTAAGTTTAGAGAACTCCCTCCGGACTAGGGATGCCAGACCCACCCGACTAGGGATGCCAGCCCCCCCCCCCCAACCGGTGCTGACAGCGATGGATGAGGTGCTCTTCGCGACCCCCACAAACACATGCTGCCCCCCCCCAGCACACACACACACACCTTGTCGAAGGCTTCCTGCTGCGAAGAGCAGATCTTCAAGCACTCGTCGATGAAAAGGTTGAGGTACCTCTGGCGGATGTTGGTGGGAACCTTGGCACCAAACTCAGTCGGGATAACCGGCCGCTTTAAGGTGGCGCTCTAGAAAGAATAAAGGGGGGGAGGACCGATGTTGCTTCAGTGACCCAGCCTCTGCCTGATCCCAAAAGCTCAAGCTCTCTAACAGGCAATCGGTTTGGTGTCGTGGTGAAGTGCGCGGACTCTGATCTGGGAGAACCGGATTTGATTCCCCCACTCCTCCACTTGCAGCTGCTGGATGACCTTGGGCAAGCCGTAGTTCTGGCAGAGCTGTTCTTGAAAAAGAGCCGTTTCTCTGTCAGAGCTCTCTCGGCCCCGCCTCCCTCACAGGGGGTCTTTTAATCTACTAGTTTGATGGACAGAAGGGTGTTCTCTACCCTACAAAAACACTCACACTCCAATACATGTTAACGCCAGAGGGTAAAAATGCCTGCAATATGTTATAATGGGAGTCTACTGAATACCTGGGTCTTAAAGCTTTCAAAAATAAAAATTCAAGCTCTGTTCTCGACTGGTACTTCAGTTTGGTGTAGTGGTTAAGTGTGCGGACTCTAATCTGGGAGAACCGGGTTTGATTCCCCACTCCTCCACTTGCACCTGCTGATGTGACCTTGGGTCAGTCACAAGCTCTGGCACAGCTGTCCTTGAAAAAGAGCCGTTTGTGTCAGAGTTCTCTCAGCCCCACCCACCTCACAGGGTGTCTGTTGTGGGGAGGGGAGGGGAAAGGAGTTTGTAAGCCGCTCTGAGACTCCAAGTGAAGGGTGGGGTATAAATCCAATCTCTTCTTCTTCTTATTTATTTATTTATTTATTTATACATCCGACTTATATACCACTCTAATCCTTGACAGGTCTCTGTCTAATCTTCTTCGCAACTAAGATTAAGAGCCTCGGACAAATCGTGCTATTGTCGCCATTACCCTGAACTGTTGGTGAGACGCCCGGGATCCATTAGAAGCTTAGCAGCATATTTGAGCCTGAATATTTACTGAGATCAGCGTCCCATCTGAACGTATTCTCTTTCCTGATTTTTGTAAAGCACTTGATGAGCAAGAGAGTTTATGTACTACTCTAGCATTTCCCGAGGAACATCCAATTTTGAAACGTTGTTATATAATCCGGAGACGACGCTGATGTATTTTCACACTACGATTTTCTTATGATTTGAAGGAATTTGTTTATTGTGCTGTAGTGCCCATTGACCATAATACACAGAAAGCATCTTCTTTGCAAGTCTTATTGACGGCTTGATCTGTGGGTCAGACTCTCGCAACTGTTTTCTTTACATCTGTTCTCTGATTAGGTCGTGATTGTCCACACTTGTCTTGTGCCATTATCTGAGCGACACCCACCACCACCACCCCCATAAAAGACTCTTAGCGTCGATGTGGGTTTTACCTGCAGCGAGGGGGCGTGCGCTACCCTCTTGGGGACATTCGTGGTGGTCGTCTTGGAGGCCATCCCGGTCAGAGTTCGAGCTTTCAGGGACAACCCATCGGTGCCATTGGAAGATGCCATGCTCCTGGGTGGAACGGTTTTATGAGGGCCTCCAGGGGCTGGAAGGACAGAAAACAAAGAACTCGCTGGCATTCAACTTAAAAACCACACACTGCGGAGGGGACCAAATGACGGGATGCACGGACCCAGAGCAAGCCAAGTCAGGCCCTGTCGGAGTCTGCTGGGACTTTGGCGGGGTGGAGGGGGGGCCCTGCACTTGGACTAATCTAACCAGGAAGACCACAGGATTTATTTTGGATATTTCTACGTCACCTCCTCTGAGTTCTGCTTGAGGCTGCTTTACGATTAAAACAACATCACCCTATTTAAAAAACGAGCCACTGGACATAAACAGCATACAAGCTACCCATGAAACAGAGGCAGACCCTTTAAAAGATGGTAAGACTAAAAACCCGGGATCCAGAACCTAAAAAGGTAAGTCAAAAAGAACAGAGGGCCAACGATAAAAACTTAATTATATTGTATGAAAAGATACATGTATTTATTAAAAAAGAATTAAAAAGCATCTAAGGGCCCAATCACACCTCATGTAAAAATGCCAAACTTTAGCACACGAGGGCCAATGGACTTGACCTGACATGTTTCGGCCTGTATAGGCCTTCTGCAGAGGTCAAACATAACTACTAAAATTATAATAGAAATATAGACTAAAACTATCCTGGCGTATACGTTACTTAATTGATTAGGTGCATAAAAGAACGATACCATGCATATAAAAAACTTAACAGTTACAATGAGTACAAGTTTCCTATTTTGTGTTATGTCTTGTGAACTGTGTTTTGTCTTTTTTGTCTGTAGAAAATTAATTAAAAACCTATTATAGTAAACATAATCAGGAGCATATTGGCTTATATCATAGTACAATGCAATCATACAATTATGTAACATAGCTACAGGATGGACCAGAAAAGAAATGTTCCAAAGTGAAACCACGAGGCACAGAATAAAAGTATAAATGAGGCCTCCAAAGGTGCAATCACATGCCAAATATTCCACTGACGATAATTTCTGGTCCAGAAAGTGCCTTCCAAAGATTGTTTAGCCAAAGCATCCTTAGTAAAATTGTCCTTAAGCAAAGATTAAAAACCCCTAATTAAAAGCCTGGATGGAAAAGAGGTGTTTTGGCTTGGCGCCTAAAAGAAACTAAAGAAGGCGCCAAGCCGACCTCAAGGTCAAAGGCGTCGAGAGGAGAGGTGCCACCACCAAAAATACCGTGTCCGGTTATCACCCGCCTGATGTCTGAAAGCTGGGATCCAGAGAGCAGGACCCTCGGGTATGTTGGCCTCAAGCTGTTTAGGGCAGAGGAGTTGAACTCGTTTGTTACGATGGTCGGATCTGACATAAATGTCACTTTGTCAGGGCAGACCATGCGTGACGTAAAATGTAACATGAGGTACCAGAGATATAAACTGTATAAAGGTGATTTTGGATGCCGAATGGCAATAGCAGACTTGATTGAATTAGGTGTGATATGCAGAGGGGTAAATAGGTGTGGAGATGCCAGCATTGGTAATGAGAGAGGTCTCAATTCCATCCAGGAGGATTCGGTCCAGGAAGATGCCAAGAATAAATGGACATAAGTCTGACATTAAAAACCACAACATTCAAAAACCAGTGGGGGAAAATTTAACCTTCCAGGACATTCAGCTGCTGACCAAAGAGTAGCAGTTCTCTTACAAAGGAATTTCAAAGGGAGATTAGAAAGACAAACTGCTGAATTGCAACTGATAATGAAGCTCAGTGCATTCTCCAGGACTGAACTGAGACCTAGGTTTCCTCTCTCATCCCCAACTAGTGTTCCCTCTAGGTTAAATTAGTGTGAGCCAGCTCACAGTTTTTTAGCCTCCAGCTCACAAATTTTTGTCTTAGCTCAGGAAGGATGACTCCAGAGCAAACTCATTCATGCAGTAGCCAAATCGCTTGCTCACAACTTTAATGCCAGGAGCTCACAAAGTAGAATTTTTGCTCACAAGACTCCACAGCTTAGAGGGAGCATTGTTCCCAACACCTGCTATTGTCATTCAGCATCTGAAATCACTCCACTCTCTAAGATGTAAGGACCAATGGACTCACATTCTAGCTGTATCTGAAGAAGTGAGTAGTGACTCATGAAAGCTCATCCCCTGCCACAAATTTTGTTAGATGCTACTGGACTCTTGCTCCTTTCCTCTAATAAAGACTGCAAGCTGTGCTGTTAGGTTTCTTTTTTTCTTCTTTTTCTGTTTAAACTTGAGGGGGGGGTCTCTCTGTGAAATGATGTGTTGATTTCACACTGTGCAAAATCAGTGCTAGTGCATGAAAAGCACAGAGGAAGTGAAGAAAGGCAGCCAGAGAGGGAGACATGTTGAACTGGAACATACGGAACCATAAATATATTTTTTAAAGACTTAGCCATCTACTTCCAGTCATTTAAACAATGGAATCCAATCAAAGTGTTCTAATTCCTAATCGGGGTCTTCTTGAAAGAAAATAAAATCCCAGATAGGCATTGAGAAATCTAACCTTTTAAAAAATACAACCTTTCCAGAATAAGCCAAAATAATTTCCTTTTAATTATATAACACACATATATGCGTGCGTGTGAGAGACTAAGTCTCAAAAGAAAACAGCAGAGCAGGGTGTTTTCAATGTAAATTGTGTTTGGCAGAAGAATCCATCCACCCACCCTCCCTCTGAAGAAGAAGAACAAAAAATTATACCTGAAATAAAACTTTGCTGGTCTTACAGGAGCCACCGAAGTCAGGCTTTCCTCTTTCTCCTGCACAAGCACTCGCTTTTCCTTTTGCTTTCGCTTTCCCTCCCCCTCCCTTTCTCCCAAAGCAGGAGAGCTCAACCAATGGAGGGAAGGGAGGCTTGACTTGGTTGTCTTCTGCAGGAAGCAGGACGAGGTTGCTGGGCAACAGCGAGCTGTAATATCGGTGGCGGGGGCAGCCCCAGAGAAGGAAGCAACAGAGAGCCAGTTGCTTAGGGTCGCCAGGTCCCCTCATCGCTCTAGTGGGGGGATTTGGGGGGAGTTCTGGGGGTGGGCAGGAACTCCCCCAAGCCCCACCCCACCCCAAGTCACGGCCGCCTGCCTCCCTCCCCTCCTGCAGAGATTTAAAGGGCTTCAGCTGATTGGCGGGGAGGTCCGTCGATCAGCCGGAGGACCCTTTAAATCTTTCAGCAGGGAGGGAGAGGGGCTGTCGCCAGCTGCAGCTCTGCTCACAAAAAGAGCCTTTAAAGGATCTTTTTGCGGGGGGGGGGCTGTGGCATGCATGGGGGTGATCAGCTGAAGCCCTTTAAATCTCTGCAGGAGGGGAGGCGGCTTGGGGGCGGGGCTTCCCCCACCGGCCAGCTGCTCGACAGCGGATTGGAACCCCCAGAAGAAGGGGAACTGCTGCCTAGACCTGGGGGCTGGCAACCCTACGGTTGCTCGTGGGCTGGATCCGAGCCCTGCAGGAGCCGGAGCCGGCCCACGGGCCATATGTTTAAACACCCCTGGGTTTAGGGGCCCTTAATGATAAGAACCACCACTTTGAACTGAGTTCTGGAATACAGGATCGCTTCACTCAGACCGATTACTTCTCAACTCCAGAGATACCCTTGAAGGTGCACAATGACTTTGCAAAGATCCTGGCGGGCCCACAGAGGTTCAGATAAAGCAGATAAAGTCTGCCTGATTCCCCAGAGCATGTTGTTCAGAGGGTTGTATCACAGTTCTGGATTTTCAAAATAAGAAGCTGGAGACGGCCGTTTCACTGGCTGATCTCGGCCAGGGGAACATTTTTAAAGCAGAGTCCTGCTGGGTTAGACCAAAAGGACACCAGATCGAGCACCCTGCTGCCCCCATTCCAATCGTCTGTCTTTGGCATCGAGCAATCAGAGACAGACTCATTAGGTCCACCGAGGCTGCACCAGTCTGGTCATAGCAGCTCCCACAGATAAAATCCATCGTTCCTTAAGGAACCAGACCACAGGCAACAGGGCAAAGGGAGTGCGCTGCTTGGACAATTCCCCTACACTGGCACAACCTCCTCTGACTCTCCTGCAAGCACAAACAAGCCCGTTGCTGCAGCCCCCCCGCCCCCCCCCAAGGCTGAGCACAGTCTGAGAACTGCACTGGAGAACGCAAGCCAGCAATTACACTGCCTTTCACGTGTTTGGTCTTTCAGGCCTCTTCCACTGGCTGGACCTCTCCTGTGCCTGAAGCAGCCAGACGGTCCCGAGGGACTGAAGGCAGCTGGCTCTCTTGGGACAGCCACCCCCCCCCCATTGTTCCAAGATGTCATTTGGTTCCCCATTAAAAAAAAAACAACAACAACACGGTGAAGCTGGAACAAGCCCAGCGCTGCAACTTGAGAGCTCAGGGGAACGGAGCTTAAAGTTCCCATTGAGCGCTCATCGGTTCATTTTGCAATTGCACCTGCAAGCAAATAAAATAACCACTCTGAAGAAAAAGGCATACTGTGTTTCTAAGATGGTGCGTGCCTTTGTCTTTGTCTTCACTGCTTTTGCAACCAGAGTCACAAACAGGAGACCCTCATCTCACAATAAACCTCGATCCACAGGAAAACAAGGGAGATTTAAGATGGTGCGCGCCTTCGTCTTTGTCTTCACTGCTTTTGCAACCTGAGTCACAAACAGGACACCCTCATCCCACAATAAACCTTGTTCCACAGGAAAACAAGGGAGATTTAAGATGGTGCGCGCCTTCGTCTTTGTCTTCACTGCTTTTGCAACCTGAGTCACAAACAGGACACCCTCATCCCACAATAAACCTTGTTCCACAGGAAAACAAGGGAGATTTAAGATGGTGCGTGCCGTCGTCTTTGTCTTTACTGCTTTTGCAACCGGAGTCACAAACAGGAGACCCTCATCCCACAATAAACCTCGTTCCACAGGAAAACAAGGGAGAATTTAAAGGTTGCTACTGCAAAAGTCATCATACAATCTGACCACAGCGGCTAAGAATTCTGCCACACGCAGGGCAGTCTGTTTGCCTTCGCATCTAAGTAACCAGGATGGTTTTGCTTCTGGAGAGGGGAAGTCCCCGATTCAATTAAGGGGAGACTGGTTCATCTCTTAGAGCCGAAAATTTGGGACAATCAAGCAAAATGTGATCCACAGGGTCAATTTTACTGCAGCCGCAATTACGGAGTTGATCTGGGCGTGAAACCCCATCAGATCTTCCTGACGCCACAGCTGGAGGTAGGGCATTCAGGTGCGCT